TTGGCTTCATCCCAGGGATGCAGGGATGGTTCACCATAGGCAAATCATTAAATGTAATATAGCACATTAACAGAAGCTAAGACAAAAACACTTGATCATCTCAATAGATGAAGAAAAAGCCTTTGATAAAATTCAACATCATTTCATGATAAAATGTCTGAGGAAACTAGGAATAGAAGGAATGTACCTCAACATTATTAAGGCTATATATGACAAACCTATAGCCAACATCATACTTAATGGGAAAAACTGAAACCAGTTCCCCTAAAGTCAGGAATGAGACAAGAGTGCCTACTCTCCCCACTCCTATTCAACGTAGTCCTGGAATTCCTAGTCAGAGCAATAAGGCAAGAAGAAGAAATAAAAGAAACACAAATAGGTAAAGAAATAGTCAAACTATCCCTGTTCACAGATGACATAATCTTATACCTTAAAGACCCAAAAAACTCCACCAAAAACTTCTGGATACCATAAACAGCTTCAGCAAAGTAGCAGGATAAAAAGTCAACTTACAAAAATCAGTAGCTTTTCTATACACCAACAGATTGAGAAAGAATATAGGAAAACAATTCCATTTATAAGAGCCTTAAAAAAAATCAAATACTTAGGAGCAAACTTAACAAAGGATGTAAATGACCTCTACCAAGAGAACTACAAACCACTTAAGAAAGAGATCAAAGAAGACTACAGAAAGTGGAAAGATCTCCCATGCTCATGAATTGGCAGAATCAACATAGTAAAATTGGCTGTATTACCAAAAGCAATCTACATGTTCAACACAATTCCCATCAAAATCCCAATGACATTCATCACAGAGATTGAAAAATCTACCCTAAAGTTCATGTGGAAACACAAAAGACCATGAATAGTCAAGGCAACACTAAACAAAAAGAGCAATGCTGGTGGTATTACAATACCCGACTTCAAACTATACTACAGAGCCATAGCAATAAAAACTGCATGGTACTGGTACAAAAACAGACATGAAGATCAGTGGAACAGAATAGAGGACCTGGACATGAATCCACACAGCTATGCCCTCCTGATTTTTGACAAAGGTGCCAAAAATATATGATGGAGAAAAGACAGCCTCTTCAACAAATGTTGCTGGGAAAAGTGGTTATCTGCCTGCAGAAAACTGAAACTAGATCCCTGTCTGTCACCCTGCACTAGTATCAACTCAAAGTGGATTAAGGCTCTCAATATCAGACCTGAAACCTTGAAGCTAGTACAGGAAAGAGGACGGAACATACTGGAAGCAATGGGTATAGCCAAGGACTTCCTCAGCAGAACTCAAACAGCTCAGCAACTAAAGGAAATGCAAATCAAAACCACACTAAGATTCCACATTACATCAAGAACACTACCACCACCAAATGTTGGTGAGGACATGGGGTAAAAAGGAATCCTCATATACAGCTGGCGGGAATGTAAGCTAGTTCAACCATTATGGAAAACAATATGGAGGCTTCTTAAAAAACTAAAAATAAATCTGTCATACAATCCAGCAATACCACTCCTAGGGATATACCCAAAGGAATGCCACTCAGGTTACTAGAGAGGCACCTGCACAGCCATGTTTATTGCAACACTATTCAAAATAGCCAAGCTATGGAAACAGCCAATATGCCCACTACTGATGAATGGATTAAGAAAATGTGGTACTTATACACAGTGGAATTTTTATTTAGCCACAAAGCATAAAATTTTGTCATTCAAGGTAAATGGATGGAACTGGAGAACATCATCTTAAGTGAAGTTAGCCAGGCTCAGAAGGTCAAAAATCCTATGTTCTCCCTAATATGCACAGTATAGACCCCAAACAGTAATATTATTGGACACAGTCACACACTAAGGGGAGAACATGCACAGGAGGGATAGGGAGACGGAAGGAAACCAAAAGTGCCATGTTTTTCTTGTTATGTTTTATGTCTTTTATTCTACAAAATTGGAGAACAAGAGGACAGAACAGGTTCTGCACAGGGTGAGGGGGCAGGTAGGAGGTGGGAGGGGAGTGGCCCAAATAATGTATACACATGTAAGTAAATGCAAAAATGATTAAAAAAAAGTGTAGCACACAGAATAAAGATGCTTCCAGATTATTACTGCCCACTAACTCTTATGCAGGAAGTCAGTGGAGGATGTGCTCTGCCAAACCAAGGGAAGAAAATAGGAAAAACATGATACAGACAGGAGCTGGGGATGTAGGTCAGTGGTACAGCACTTGCCTGGTGAGCATGAGGCCCTGCATTCTACCATAGTGCTGAAAAGAAAAGATAAAAAGCCCCCCAAGGGAGAATAGTAAAGAGAGGCACCAGTGGACAAGCTGGGCTAGAGCAGGAGCCAGGAGGGAGGGGGAGGGTCATGAAAAAAAATAAGTAAGTAGACTATCTGAAGCAATCAACAACGCAAAAACGAGTACTGACAGATGTTCTCACCAACGTATTACAGGACAGGAGAAGAAACAGACTAGAGCTGAGTGCTGGTGTCTTATACCTGTAATCCTAGCTACTCAGGATGCAGAGATCAGGAGGACCACAGTTGGAAGCCAGCCCAGCAAAATAGTTCATGAGACCCTATTGGAAAAAATCCATCACAAAAAAAGGGCTGGTAGAGTGGCTCAAGTGGTAAAGTGCCTGCCTAGCAAGTTTGAGGCCCTGATTTCAAACCCCAGTACCCCCAAATAAATAAATAAACTCAAATACTACCAATTTTTAAAAAAGTAATTTCCTTTATTTATTTTTCTTTCTTTCCTTACTCCCTGCCTCCCTCCCTTCCTTCTTTCCTTCCTTCCAGTGCTGAAAATCAAATCCCGGGCCTCACACATGCTAGGCAATTCCATCAAAATTCCAATGTCATTCTTCACAGAAATAGAAGTCAGTCCTAAAACTCATGTGGAAGCACTAAAGACCCCTAATAGCCAAAGCAATGCTGAGCAAAAAGAGCAATGCAGGAGGTATCTTAATACTTGACTTCAAATTACACTACAGAGCCATAGTAACAAAACTAGAACGTTACCGGCACAAAAACAGACACAAAGACCAAAGGAATAGAAAAGAAGATTTAGAAATAAGCTTGCACAGCCACAGTGATTGGATTTTCTTTGTTTTGGCAGTATTGGGGTTTGAATTTAGGGCCTTGTGCTGGCTAGGCAGACACTCTACCCCCAGCCTAATGTCTGACAAAGGAGCCAAAAACATACATTGGAGAAAAGAAGAGACAGCCTCTTCAACAAATGGTGCTGGGGAAACTGGTTATCTACATGCAAAAGACTAAGACTAGACTCCTATCTCCCACTTTCTGCAAAAGTCAATTTCAAAAGGATCAAACAGGGCTGGGGATATGGCCCAAGCAATAATGCACAAAGCCCTAAGTTCAAACCATACTACTGCCAAAAAAAAAAAAAAAACCACAATCGAAAAGATCTAAATGTAAGGTGTGAAACTTTGAAACTATGACAGGAAAACATAGGGAAAAGTCTCAAAGGTATAGGCATAGACAGATGTTTTCTGAATAGGACTCCAATAGCCCAGGAAATAAAAGCAAAAATTGACAAATGGGATTGTATCAAATTAACAAACCCTGTCCAGGGTGGAAGTGTGGTTCAGCTGTAGAGTACCTCCCTAGCAAACCATATTTGTCAAAGTAAAAAAAAAAAAAAAAGCCCCAAAATAAACAGAAGAAAAAAAAAAACACATGAAGAAATGTTCAACATCCTTAGCAATAAAGGAAATGCAAATCAAAACCACATTGAGATTCCACCTCACCCCTGTCAGAATGGCAACCAACAAGAAAACAAACAGCTGGGCACTGGTGGCTCACGCCTATAATCCTAGCTACTCAGGAGGCAGAGATCAGGAGGATCACAGTTCGAAGCCAGCCTAGCAAATAGTTTATGAGACTCTATCTCAAAAAAACCCATCACAAAAAAGGGCTGGTGGAGTGGCTCAAGTTGTAGTTCAAATCCCATAAACGCAAAAAAAAAAAAACCCAAAACCAAAAAACGAAAGAAAACTAACAACAAATGTTGGTAAGGATGCAGGGGAAAAAGGAATGTGGGAATGTTATTTAGTACAACCATTATGGAAATCAGTATGGAGGTTCATCAAAAAGCTAAAAATAGAACTATCGTATGAATCTGCCATACCATTATCGGGGACCCCAGTCCCACCAAAACAAACAAAAACAAAAAAACCTAAGAATTGGTTTGAGGGGAGGGGAGTGAGGGGACAATGAAGGAGGGGGTAAATCTAATTAAGATATATTGTAAGCACATATGTAAATATCAGAATGTGACCCCCTGTACAATTATTATATGCCAATAAAGTATTTTTTAAATGATGGGACATTAGGGTAATGGGGGAGTGTTGGGGGAGGGAAATCAGTTGGGGAAGGAAGGGGAAAGGAAAGGGTACACAGATTAAAGTGTATTGCATATACCTATATATGTATATCTATCTACCTATATATCTCTAGCTATCTGTATATGAAGATAGCATAATGCAACATTAAATATTGCTTGCAAAGGGGGAGAGGAGAGAGGAAGGGAGGAGGGTTAAGAAAATATAATAGAGGGGGTGATCTGAAAGCATCTGTAGAACTTTCACAAGGAAACCCCCTTGTACCACTAATAAATCCTGGTAATGATTTGAAAAAGGTAATTTCCTTATTTATTTTTGCAGTGCTGGGGAATCAAACCCAGGGTCTCATGCATGCCACACCAAGCCATGCCATGCAATCATTCTACCACCGAGCTATAGCAGACAACTCCAGAAACAAGTTATTCTTTACATTCTGGGGCAGAAGCAGAGAAACAGCTGAAACAGTGGTCCATGGGCTCAGGAAGCCACCTGAGGGAGCAGCAAGGATGACACTACTGCTGCTCGTCAGAAGCAGCTGTGGCCCCACTTCACTTTTAACCATGTGTGTGCATTTTTCTGACACAATAAAATTAATGTGAAAATAAGAACTCTTAAGAAATCAAGCAAAGATTCACTGACCTTTTGTTTCAGTTCATGTGTATCACTGAAAATGAATTCAATCACATATGGCATCTCAATTGATATAGCCAAGGAGAAACTACCAGAAAAGAAGAGAGGGTTGTCTTAGTGTGATGTCTTGTTTCCCCTTGCAGTTTTGTCAAGTAGTTTGTTTTCCTGGATTTTAATCCAGGGCTTCATGCATACTAGGCAACTACCACTGATCTATGCCCCAGCCTTCAAATAATTATAAATGAAAATTTAAACTTAAAGCTGATGTCTGTTGAATAAGTTAATTGACAGGTTTTATATTTTAGATACCAACCTTTGCTTTGCTCCTATTTCTCTTATGCAAATCTTCTCTACTGTATCCTGTTAAGAGAAAAATATATGTGTATAATGTAGTATCCATTAAGCTTCACAATGAGACTGTACCTGAAGGTGACCTCAGAACCACAGGGTGAGAGCTGCCACGAGACACATGGTCTCATTTCCAAGCAGTGAAACACAGAGCTTTTGTTCATGAACTGATAGAAACCTCTAAAATTCAGGAATCACTTCTGACCATTTTGACAGATCTTCAATTCTACATACGTCTCTCTGTGTATATGCAAGTATATATACATACAGTTGGCATATATAAATACAAAGTCTGGAAGGATGTATACCAAAGTGACCCACTTCAGAAGTTATCTCTGGGTGACAGAATTAAAGAATTTTTTTTTTTTTTGAGACAAGGTTTCACTACTTGGCTCAGGCTGGCCTCAAACTCTTGGGCCTCCTGCCTCTGCCTCCAGATGGATGTGATTATGATCCTGCACCACCACCATGCCCAGCTCTGTGTTTTTGAGACAAAGTCTCACTCTATAGCCCAGTCTGGTCTCCAACTCGTGATTATCCTGCCTCAGCTTCCTGAGTGCTGGGATTATAGATGTGCACCACTGTGCTTCGTTTAAAGATGGTTTTACTCTTCCTCTTTTGGCTTATGTGCCTTCTTATGACTATCTAAATTCTCTAAGATGAATATACAGTACAGATGCAAAAAAGTTTTGAGTCACTGAATAGAATAAAAATATTATGCCCTCTAAACACACCCATGTCTTTATTCTTTCCGTTTTATAAACATTACATGCGTCTAACTGTATAAATGATAATGCCATTCTGCCAAAAGTATCTGGCATGTTATGCCAGAGATATCATCTTAGATATTTTTGTTCTCTCTCTCTCTTTCATTCTTTTCAGTGCTGGGGACTAAACTTAGGGTCCTCACACATGCTAGACAAATGCTCTGCCCCTGAGATGAACCCATGGTTCCCCTTCCCTGTGCATAAGTCCCCTCCAGCAATGCTCCTTCAGAGGTTATGCTAAGTGCACCCACCTGAAGGTGTTCATTCAAGGCCTTGTCCTGCTGCCAGGGTGCGACAGTGGTGGGCAGGAAGAAGACAGCCACAGAGCCCTGCATGCTGAGTTCTGTGATGTAGGTGATTTTGATGAGAACCTTAGCCTTAGGAGGCAAGTTTCCAACACTTACGGAGAACACATCCTGAAATAGAAACTTACGACTTAACTTAGAACTCAAAAACATATCTGTGTTATGCTAGTTAATCTCTCATATTATTTAAAGGACTTGGATTACAGTCTGCTAAATTCTTCCCCAGAAGATGGTAATGATAGAACCAAGAAGACAAGGAGACTCATGGGCATTCCTCAGTGATGGGGACAGGGAGATGCCAGCAGGAGGCAGAGAAGAGGAGGGCCCTTGGGAGGGTCACCCGAGGGGACCCACACCAGCGGTCCCAACTGGTGCGCTGTGCCACATGGAGGCCTCCACAGAACCCCTTTCTTGAGGAGCCTATGGCCTCTGTGGCTTCTAGGGCGTCCAGCATGGCCTCCTCCTGGGCCCAAAGCGCTACAGCAGATTCCTCTAAGCCTGGCCTTCACTTACTCTTCTTACTCTATAGAAAACCTATGATATCTTTCTTAGAAAAATATTTAGATTTCATTGAGTGGGGTATTGGTGAGCACCATGGAAGGAGCAAGTGCAGAGTAGCTAGAGCAGAAAAGAAGAAAGGTTAGTTCTTTTGTTTTCTGACACCTACACACACATCCTTTCAACATCTCCAGCTACATCTGTTATTTCAGCTGACCATTTACTATGAAATTTTAGTACACTGAGTTCAGAAAATTAATGATTAAGGTAGGGGTAAGGGCTAAATTATTAGTTTTGACATCAAGGATATCAACTTTTAGGATAGTGATAAATAACGAAGGGGCAATTATTACAGAGTTAACAGTGTCCTCAAAGGAAAGCCCAGGGTTCATTTGAGAGGTGACCACTTAATAACGTGAGGTACAGTTCTGCTTATGGGTGGGACAAAGGCAGATACAAGATGATGTCACTTTCATGATGACATGTTGGGTAGTATACAACATCATAACTTGTCTTGAACCCGTTGGCAAAGGGAGCTGAATTCCAAAGAGTGATAAACCACTGGGAGGTCAGAGAAGGACAAAGGAACTGTATGAATTCCTACAGGCTGAAAGTGGGTCAACTTATCGATTTAGAATAACAAGGCAAGTTAGCACTTTTTTTTTCCCCTCTGTTGTCTACTGGGTCCACTAAAAAGACCACGGCAAGCCAGGCAGACCAAAGAAAGCCCCTCTCAGTAGAACAAGTGCCAGGAGGTGACTGGCTGCTTCTGGGGACAAGTATGTCCCCAACTTCATTGAGTCTTTTCCCCATATGAAACAAAAACCTAAAACTTCCAGGGAAGGGCAGCAAATTCCTTCATTCCCATGCCTGTGGGGACGCAGCAGTACAGTGACAAGAAATCTTCCTTATTGCCCCAGTGACCAGAGAAAGCTTCTCTGCTTCAGAGGACAGAGCAAATACCATCTCCCCCATGGGGAAAGGCACAGAACGCTTTGGGGCCCAGGACCCTGCACTCCTAAAGAGCAGGAAAGGCAGGAAACTGTCATCAAACATGAGCTTCCTGTTTCAAATCCTCTGCTGTGAGCACGCTGACGCCTGGGTGAGCACCGCACCCTACCGGAGCGTCCTGGTCCATCAGGTAAGCGCCGTGGCCTTGGCTGACAGCTTCCCGGTATTCTCGCTGGGCCTCTTCCTTTTCTTTAATCTGGAAATGATTCATTTTTAAGCCATCCATTATAGGAGGAGAAACTTCAGACTTTAATAATTACATCAAATTATAGGCAAAAACCAGAAAACTGAGTCTAATGTAATGAAAACTTACTAATCACCAAATCGTACTTGTCTAATAAGAATTTGAACTACAAAAGGCCAACTACGTTGAGAGCAAAATATTTTAAGAGTCAAAAGTTTGGAACTTTACATTGAACAACAACAATGAAATTATTTTAAATTTAATAAATTGTGGGTTATAACTCCAACTGTGGGCTACTTTTTAGACTAAACAAAGAACGAATCAACTCTTCTTTCCTTTTTCTGTTGGGTTGCTGGGGACAGAGTCCAAGCTTTGCAAACGCTAGGCACTGAGGTATCCCCACAGCTGCTGTTAGCCTGTGGTCTAATTTTTCTTAGAAAGTTACAACAACCTTCACTTCAGCTTTGATAGGGTGCATAGGATTTTGCAAAAATATGTAAGGGTTTCACCAATTTTCAAGTGGGCTTCTCTTAAATTTTTGATACTGAAGTAACTTTTATTTTTGTAGTACTGGATTTTGTTTGAATTCAGGGCCTCGGGCTTGAGTCATTCCCCCAGCCCTTTTTGCCTTTGTTATTTTTCACCTAGGGTCTGGCATTTTTGCTGTGGCCAACCTGGACCACCATCCTGCTATTTATATCTCCCACATAGCTGGTGGTATAGGCACGAGACTACCATGCCCGGCTTATTTATTAATAATATTTTTGGTGGTACCAGGACTTGAACTCAGGGCCTCACTCTTGGTGGACAGGTGCTCTACAACTGGTCTGTTTGTTGAGATGGGGTCTTCCTACTTTTTGCCTGGCTGGCTTTGAACCATCATTCTCCCAATCCCTACCTCCCAAAGAGCTGGGGATTATAGACAGGAACCACCATGCCCAAACTGAAATAAAAATTTTTTTAATTGCTGAAAAAAAGAATCTGCAAGTCCTGGAGGTGTGGCACAGGTAGGAGAGCACCTGCTTAGCAAGCACAAAGCCCAGAGTTCAAATTCCAGTACCAAAAAACCTTGTAAGACGATGATTAAACGCCGATAGGTATGGAAAGATAGCAGTTAATCAGGGAGGGATGCTTCAGTGCAGGCTATTTATGTGTGTTGGTTCCTCAGAGAATATCTTGTTTTTTGACAAAGCTACTCAATCTTCACTCATGGGGGTGAGAAGATGAAGACTGGGTAACGGGGAAGCTGACTGGGACAGCACAACCAGTCTCAGCGCACTCTCCCTTACCTCTCCTACTATGTGCTTCTCATTGATGAACGCCTCGAAACCACACACGGCTGCCTTGTCATCCAGAGGAAAGATAAACTTTGCCTCAATGGGCACATCACTGTGATTTGTGTATGTCTGAAAAACAATGACCTGAAGAAGGAACAAAAATCCGTATACTTGATTAAACCACAGGGAACGTTCACAGAGACAACTAGTGAAAATAAATGTGGCATTTAAAGTCATTGCATCTTCATCATGGCCCTCAAGTTCTCCCCCAGCTTCAGCACTGCTGGGGACAGGGGACTATCCTTGCTTATCTTTGAAGCACTCGCTGAGCAGAGGCAAGGCAGCTCCTCCTACACGTGCTGCAGACCTCCAGAATACAAGTGCCCCTGGTCTCTTGTAAACCCATGGTAAACTGAAAATACCATAAGTGGGAAATGCATCTACTAATGAAGTTTAGATTTTTTTTTTTTTTGGTGGGTTTGGGGTTTGAACTCAGGGCTTGTGCTTACAGAGCAGGCACTCTACCACTTGAGCCACACCTCCAGTCTTAATGAATGGATTTTTAGAAATGATATACAGTTGGCCTCCATGCCTGTGGGTTCCACATCCATGACTTCAACCGTGAGTTGAAAATATTTGGGAAATCATTGCATCTGTATTGGGTGCTTTCCTCCCTTCCTCCATTATTATTCCCTAAACAAACAGTCTAACCTGTCTATTTCATTTAGTTTGGGCAACTGTAATCGAATCCTCCTTTATGATACATGTTCACTTAGTCAGTCTCATAAAACCACAACGAGCATACCTGGGCTACAAAGTCTATGATCCTCCCCTTGATGTGAACATCCTCCAGAGGAACCGAATGCCCAGAGGCATCCTGAAGGCCGACCTTGACATTGCTGGGAGGTTTGGCATCTGGTAACTGGTAATCTGCATGTTCTAAATATAAGCAACAGTATTTAAAATAATCAGTGCTGTATTTTAAATTATCTTGATTTTTAGTTCTTGTCTATCCTTGCATATACTACATGTTAGGAAAAATGAACAAATAGCATTTTGTGATTTCCTTTGAGATGCGATCTTACTAGGCAGCCCAAGCTCACCTTGAACTCATGGCTGACTCTGACTCAGCCTCCCACGTGCTGGGATTGCAGGCATGTACCACCACACCCCACTGGCATTTTTATGACTTTTAATTGCCAATTCTGAAAAGTAAGTAAACCCACCTGAGGAAAATGGGAAGAACGTCCTCAAAGACTCTTTGACCTTTAAATTTTATTTTTAAATATTTATTTATTTTGCAGTGTCGGGACGTTCTACCACTGAGCTACATCGCCAGCCCTTCCTATTCCTTTTAAAACTTGAGGTTAGTAGAGTTGACATGCAAACCCAAGCTTTCTGATTCTAAAGCTGTGTCTTCTGTCTACTGTGCTCACCTGTTAGACTTTTGCATGTTGGCACTTAAAATGGCTCCATGAGTATTATGGCTTGGACTTGGTTTGCCCCTGAGAAGGTTCATGTGTTGAAGTTTAGTACCCCGTGAGATGATGTTAATGGGTGGCGGGACCTAGTGGGAGGTTGTTACTAGCCCTGGCTTCTCTCTAGCTTACAATCTTTCCTCTTGCATTCATTCCTGCTGTGATGCCATCTACCACAAAGTCCTTACCAGAGCCAATATGAAACAAGTGCCAGGCCCTTGAACCTCCAAAACTGTGAGCAAAACAAACCTCTTTTCTTTACAACATATCTGGCCTCAAATATTTTGTTATAGTAAAAAAAAAATAAAAAGGACCCCAAGGAGAATAAGCTCAACTTAGGCATATTAATGATGTAATATGGAATTTTGAGATCACTTAATTTTTCACAAACATCTCATTTTTTATGTGGACAAAATAGAAGAGAAAATGAAGTATTTATGTGCAAGGTCATAGATATTACTTCATGAATATAAGTCCCATTGGAAACATAATATTTCAGTCCTATAAAAACCTCTTTTCTTTACAACATCTGGCCTCAAATATTTGTATAGTAAAAAAAAAAATAAAAAGGACCCCAAGGAGAATAAGCTCAACTTAGGCATATTAATGATGTAATATGGAATTTTGAGATCACTTAATTTTTCACAAACATCTCATTTTTTATGTGGACAAAATAGAAGAGAAAATGAAGTATTTATGTGCAAGGTCATAGATATTACTTCATGAATATAAGTCCCACTGGAAACATAATATTTCAGTCCTATAAATACTATCGCATAAAACAGCATCCAAGAAAATTGTCTTACCTTCAACCCTTGAAAAATTGGAAAGCTCAGGTCCATACTCCTCTACCTCAGTGTTAACACATGGATGAAAGTCCTTTATTTGGTCTCCAGGCATGCAAAATTTCACAATATATTTCATTTTAACCTGATTGGTTTTATACACAACAAATTCATCATCCTAGAGCACACAGAAACAAGCAGGTGGTAAAACAACAACAAGCCTTTGCAGGCAGATGTTTCTCAGAGAAGCACAATTTCACCTTTGTTAATTTAGTAAATACTGAATTCAGGCAGTATAAATATAGAGTAATTATTTAAGTGAAAGCATATTTAATAAAAACAGAAGCAAAACCCTAAGGCTGGTCTTCAGACATTCAGGCCCCTCTTTGCCTGTTTTGGATTATCTTCTTGAATTTCGCAGTGCTGGGTATGGAGCGTGGGGCCTCAGCCATGCCAGGCAAGTGCTCCACCATGGAGCTCCATCCCAGCCCCACCTGTCTCTCTCTTTTTTTTTTTTGCGGTACTGGGGCTTGAACTCAGGGCCTACACCTTGAGCCACTCCACCAGCCCCCTTTTGTGTGATGGGTGTTTTCAAGATAGGGTCTCAAGAACTATTTTCCCTGGGCTGGCTTTGAACCAAGATCTTCTGATCTCTGCCTCCTGAGTAGCTAGGATTACAGTGTGAACCACTGTCACCCCACCCACCCATCTTTAAATATAAAAATACCTCAAAGTCTGTGGGAACAGAGACAGTTTGTGAAACTCCATGCACACTGTCGTAGCCTGGTGGTGCTTCCGTTAAGGAAAAGTCCTTCTGGAAGACATTCATACACTTTCCAAGAGCCACATCGCAGACGACCAGGAGTCTGGCACCGTCCATCTGTCCTGGGTGTGAGTACTTACTGCTTGTGCTGTGTGAGAGGAAATGAGCCCGTTTAACCTAAGCTAGCGTCGACCTCTCCTTACTGCATAAATAGGAAATAGGGGTTGAGCATTGCTAAGCAGAAACTCTAAATTCAAAATCTGAAATGCTCCAAAATTCAAGAATCTCTGAGCACTGACACATGGCCCAATGGAAAGTTCTACCCTGATATCATGGGATGGGTGACAGTCAAAACGCAGATGCACTAAAAATTTTGTGTGAAATTATCTTCAGGCTGTGTATATCAGGAGTACATGAAACATAAACAAAATTTGGGGATGGATGTATTCCATCCCCAATGTATGTCATTACATATAATGCAAATAACCCCAAATCTGAAAAAAACCCAAAATTCAAAAACACTTCCTGTCTCCAGCACTTTGGTAAGGGATACTCAGCCTGTATTGTCCAAAGACTTTCCTGTTAGACCATTCCAAATTTTGCTGCTACTGAAATAGCTCCAAAGAATCAAGTGAGAACTTCATTAAGAATAGCAGGGTGTGGTGGTACATGCCTGTAATCCCAGCACCCTGGAGGCTGAGGCATGAGGACCATGAGTGAGAGGTCAGGCTGGGCTTCACAGTGAGAACCTGTCTCACAAAAAAGACCTTCATTATATACTTATTTATTCAATTTTTTTTGGCAGTACTTGGATTTGAATTCAGGGCCTTGTACTTGTTAGGCAGGCATTCTACCATTTGAACCGCTCCATTAGCTATTTAAAATTTTTATTTATTTATTTGCAGTGCTGGGGTTTGAACTCAGGGCCTACACCTTTAGCCCCTATTTTTGTGATGGGGCTTTTTGAGCTAGGGTCTCTCAAACTATTTGCCTGGTGCCCAGTTTTAAAAAATTTAATGTAACAAATGTGCATATCACTTTTAGTTGTGCCAGACAGTGCTCAAGCACTTTGTTCTCAGGGATGATAAATTCTATTGTTCCCTAAAATCTTTGTTAGCTACTGAAATACACACATTCTGCTGTAATCAATGCCAGAGAAATGACTAAGAAGGAAACAACCCATATTATTAATTAGGAAAAATTGGATTGAATTCTCTGCATTAAAGCTCACAAAGAAAATTAAATACCAAGTGCGGAAGCAATAGTCAAAGGGAAAGACAGACACTGTATTCTTTTTTCTTTTTTTCTTGTCAGTTCTGGGGTTTCAACTCAGGGTTCTGCGCTTGTTAGGTGGGCACTCTACCACTTAAGCCACATCTTCAGCCCCCCCCTTTTGGTGATACTGGGGTTTGAACTCAGGGCCTATACCTTGAGCCACTCCCCAGCCCTTTTTTGTGAAGGGTTTTTTCATGAAATAGGGTCTCGTGAACTATTTGCCTGGGCTGGCATGGAAACCATGATCCTCCCAATCTCAGCTTCTGGAGTAGAGAGGATTACAGGTGTGAGCCACTGGTGCCCAACTATCACACCTTTTGAATCCAAGCAGAGAAAAAACTTCAAATGGCAACTAAATAACGGATTGATTTTGCTTCCCTTTCATGGGATTCTACAGCTTTAATAAGGCAAGTCTTGCTGTTATGAGCACAGCTAGGACATGCATTGGGGGGCAACAGTTGCAGGACACACCTCTGCATTTTTTTCCTTTTTTATTAGGATATATTCACTGTACATGGGGGGACTCATTCTGACAATTCCAAATGGCCTTACATTGTACATTGGTTAGATGGCCCCCACCATCTCCCCCAACCTGTGCATTTTTTTAAAAAGATCAAGACAAAACATCAAAGTGTTGTTGGAGGACCCTTCTTTATTCCATCCCTAAAAACTTCTTTTTTTAAAGGAAGCTAAGGATTTATTTATTTTTACTTGTAACACTGGATGAAACCCAGGGCCTTACAGCTAGGCAAAGGCTGTACCACTCAGCCACATCCCCAGCCCTAACACCTGCACTTAAAAAAAGAATCCATTTCTCCATTCCTCTGGAAAGCCTCTCCCATCTGTGGGTGTTTTCCCTACAACTTGCAAATATGTATCAATCTGTCTTATCAGAACCCACTTGACTGTCCCCTCTCCTGGGTCTCTCTTTCCTTCTTCCTTCTCCTCGCATGAGTCCGCTGACCATTCTTCAACCCACTGCAATCCACTCTATTCAGAATTCTCTTTCTGCCCCTCACCCTGGCTCCTTGTTTTGTGTTTTGAAACAGGGTCTTGCTATACAGCTCAGGCTGCCTTGGAACTCAGTATGTAGCACAGGCTGACTTGAACTCTCTATCCTCTTGTCTCAGCCTCCCAAATCCTGGGATTACAGGTGTGCAACAACACATCAGGCTTCTTCTCTTTTTTAAAAAGGGGGAAAAAAACCACACAAAATTTATTGCATGTCTGTGGCATGGAGTATTAGACTTCTCTATTCAGACTTCCTCACTAAAGCTGAGGCAGGATAGATTAGAAAAACAGGACATGGAAATCAGGATCCCAGAATTCAGAAATAATCACTGTATTAATATATAGCTTAACTAAAGCACACAGACATTGTTTTCTTTTCTTTTAGCCTCACACTCCCTCACTAGCGGTAGCACACAATAGAAAAGCATCCCTCTGACCTTGACCAAGTGGTTACTACTGTGCCGTGAGAATGGGGCAAGTGTGTCTCAAAGAAAAACACTTACCTTGAGAGAATTTGGTCAAATGACTCCTTTGATCACAGAAATACAAAAAAACCAGACATATGTCACAACAACCCAGATTTAATAAAACTCATACTTAATGTCTCTGGACCAAGCTGATAATGCCAGAACATTCTAACAACCAGAATGACAGACTATGACAGATGTAACAGGTGACCAGACAAAGAGAGCACTTTTTTTTTTTTTTTTTGGTGGGACTGCAGTCTGAACTCAGGGTTTAGCATTTATAAAGCAGGTGCTCTACCTCTTGAGCTACACCACCAGTCCATTTTGCTCTGGTTATTTGCAGTTGGGGTTTCAAGAACTATTTGCCCAGGCTGGCCTTGAACCTCAATCCTCCTGAGCTCAGCCTCCCAAGTAACTGGGATTACAAGTATGAGCCACCTTCCCCGGCTGGGAGCACTTTTGTAAAGGAATATTTTCCTTTATTTTGTAAAGCTGCTTTACTGTAATATGTAAGTCTTTGGTGTCCAAAGGGTCACTGTGTCTCTTCTACATACCCACTTGACGTACAAAGTGTGCCTTCACTTTCTGTACTCTTGTGGAATACTGCTCTCTTACCTTGCCTTGCTTCTGTGTCTGAAATTCCTTTCCATGCCGCCACTCTTCTAAAAGTCACTGAGGACTTCAATTTCATTAAAATAAATGGAATGTTGAGAAAAATATAACATCTAAAAATTTTCCCTTCATAATATTTGGTATATAAGAATTGTTTTTGTGGTACTGGGATTCGAACTAGCAAGCCTCGTGCTTGCTGGGGAGGTGCGCTACCACTTGAGCCTTTAGCATTGGGTATTTTCAAGTTAGGGTCTCTCGAACTATTTGCTTGGGGCTGGCTTCAAACCTCAACAATCCTCCTGATCTCTGCCTCCTGAGTAGCTAGGATTACAGGTGTGATCCACCATGCCCAGTAGTACATAGGAATTTATACTATAAGTGTTTAAGGAATAACAAGGAGACAAACTTCACATAGTGACTCCTAGCTTAAGAATGAGAGGAGCATGAGGCCCTGAGTTCAAACCCCAGTACCACTGAAAATGAAAAAAAAAGAATGAGAGGAAGTCACAGATGTAGATATGAGGATTGCTGGCCTGGAAAAATGCTGACTGGACAGGCCTACTCCTGTTTGCATCCTATTTTAGCCGCATGTCCTGAGGCAAAAGTCCCTGGTTTCCTCAGTGTTCCATCTGTTACATGTGAAAAAATAGGATTTACCTCTGGAGTGTTCAGAGAGAAAATACACATCAAAGGTCTCAGAAGAAAATGCTTTCAAATCTTAGTTTCTCCAAACATTCACCACAAGACATGCTTCTGCTGAGGGGAATGACCACTTTCAGTCACACAGTACATGCTCAGTGACTCCTGGGACGTGCCTCAGAAGCACCATGCAGTACAGAATGCACTCACCTGAGGGCATCACTGAAATAAATCCCACTGCCCAGATTTCCAATGTCTGTTCTTTGCACGCCATGATCTTCAGCTGCTTTGGGTAGAAGCAACCCTCTGAAAAGAACAGGGCATTGTGATCACTTACTAGAAAAATATTTTTATAGGCTTGTAATTTTAGCAGAAACCGGTGCTATTTTAAACAGCATGACAGGCATTTCTTTACAAATTCACATATATGCAGAATCTGTATCCAGATTCAACCAACCATAGACTGAAAATATTCAGAAAATAACCATCTCACTGAACATGTACAGAGTATTAGGTTTTATAAGTCATCTAGAGAGGATTTACAGTGTACTGTGAGGGTTGTGGAGGTGCCATGAAAATGCCACACTGTTTTATGGAAGACCCTGGACATCCAGAGGTCCTGGTATCTGAGAGGGTTCCAGAAGCAATTCTTTGAGGGTATAAGGGATGAATGCTGTAATCTCTAGTCATGGTTCGACAGCTATGGCTGGTTTCTCATCAAGGCTTTTCTTTTTTTTTGTGGTACTGGGGTTTGAACTCAGGACCTACAACTTGAGCCACTCCACCAGCCCTGTTTTGTGTTGGGTTTTTGTGAGATAGGATCTCTCAAACTATTTGCCCCAGCTGGCTTCGAACCGAGATCCTCCTGATCTCTACCTCCTGAGTAGTTAGGATTACAGGCGTGAGCCACCCGTGCCTGGCCTCATCATCTTCAGCAGCACAGGGCTGCTAGTCACAGTTCCTTCCCCTTCCAGCCGAGGCCCCAGAGCAAACCCAATACCAAAGGCATCTCTGACTTGTTCAAGATTTGAGTATTTAGAGAACTCTGAGGTCAAAGTGAAATGGTTATGCCTATGAAGTCAGGTCAAGGGAGACGTCTGCCTTTTATTAAAAAAGTATCATTTGAATTTTGTGTTAGGAAATTGAATTAATTTTGTAAAATGGCTTTTGGGATTTGGTCCTGCCTAGAAAAGCCATTTCTACATTTCTACTCAAAGATCTCTCTCTCTCTCTCTCTCTCTCTGTCTCTTTCCCTTTCTCTCTCTCTCCTGCTCTCTCTTTCTCTCCCTCTCTCTCTTTCTGTCCCTCTCTCCTCCTCTCCTTCTCTCTTTAGTGATGGGACAGAACCGAGTTTCCCACATGCTAGCTGAGCACTCTACCACCATATTAACCTCAGCCCTCATTTAGCATTTTTATGGTTTTATTTTAAATGTTTTAAATCTTAACTCTATAAGGAGATGAAGTATAAGAAATGAGGTAAGGTCTAACTTTGTACTTTTCCTGGTGGTTCCCATCATCCCTATAGATGGTATTGAAGTGCTACCTTTCTTCCACAGACATAAAAGCTATTTTTATCATGTCCTCAGACTTCTGTTTTTCAGTTTATTTATGAGATTTCTTCTGAATCTTGAGTTTTTTTCTATTGGTTCATCTTCTTATCACTCACTTAAACATCACCTTACTGTTTCAGTTAATAAAGCTCAATAATATGCTTTAATAGTCTGATTCTCTTTCATTACTCTTCTTTTTCTGATTTATCCAGATGACATCAAAAAATTTTAAACATGTATAGAGTCTGCTTTTTACTTATTGATTTTTTTATGCTGTGCCTTGTTCTTGCTAGGCAAGTGCTCTAACACTGAGCTACATTCTTAGCCCATAAGTTTCTTTTTCTTCTGTTCTCCTCCTTCTTACTCTTCTTTGCTTATTTACTTATTTATATTTTAACTGTGCATCTTCTTATGTACTAAATTAAAGGCTCTAAAAGTACTCATAACTCCCCTTGCCCCTGTAACTTAAGTTCTAGCGCTAGTGTTAAGTGTCTATTCAAAGCAAACAGAAAATTATGAGTTCTGCTTTGGGTAAACAGCACACTATCTCTGAACTCCAATTTCTAGACCCTCTCTTTAAGTGTTCATCAACATAATTATCAAGTATATAATTTTCTTTAGAATGCAATCAGTTGGCAGCTTGTAACTGAAAAGATCGATGTATTTTGTTTATTTAGTTTGGTGTGGGGATTCTAGGAAAGAAAGCAAAACACTTGACATCTATGAGCCTGAAAATTCTGAGAAACAAAGGTGGCACACCCTTACCGGGACAAAATTCCAACAATGTTGTGTACGGGAGATCCATGCAACAAGGGCCTCACGTTGCCAAGTCTGCTCAGAAACTCGGTGGCTTCATTCATTCTGCCAACTCTAAATATCTGCAGGATATCTCCTGGACTTTTACTGGAAGGAGAGTCGTGAGGTTACATGATTGAAAGTGACACCAAAAATCATTATTCACAGAAGAAATCCCATCCACTTCAACCATCCATTATCAGGGAAGTGATTTCATGAATCACAATATAATATATCTTGCAAATATTATGTAGCCATTAAAAAAGTCACATTCTTAGAAAATGATAGGTATGTGACATAAAATTTATAGTAAAATATATGTTTTTCTCTGAAATAGAAAGGTTTGTTGAGCCACTACAGATGCTAGCTAGAAAAAAGAAAGGGCTGGGTTCTGGATCAAGTTCTCACAACTCCTCGCACAGGGCTTGGTAGCTGGAAAAAATGTCCCTACAGTAAAATATAAAATTTTTAAAAATCACAAATCTTTTATACAGTATGCCTCCAAATTTTGTCAACGATATGATATGGAGAAAATATAGTTTCATTCACATGCATATGAATTAATGAGTGAACCTATTCAATGCTTTCATATCACAAACTCATTCAATGGTTTTATATACATGATATATGATGCATAATTCTTATAACAAAAATGTACACATATGAAAACAGATTTGAATGGGTTCATTCATTCATGCATTCATTCAACAAACATAATCTGTGCTGAATATTCTTCTAGACATTGGAAATAAGATAACATGGTTTCTGGCTTCATGGAGCTTATATTCGAATGAGAGAGACAAAAATTAAGAAGTCATCAAATACTCTCTGCTACTAAGGAAACCAACTAGGTTCAGAGCAGGGGGGTTCAGAAAGTCCCCATGTTTTTCAGATCATGGCATGATATGATGTGCATTTTAAGATGCAACTGGAGGCTGGGTACTGGTGGCTCACGCCTGTAATCCTAGCTACTCAGGAGGCAGAGATCAGGAGGATCGGAAAAAAAAAATCCAACTGGCTGTTATAGGACAATGAGTGTATGGTAGTGAAAAAGAACATCAGGATCACTGGAAAAGAACAGCAGCAGGGTGGACAGGACAATGTGATCGAGACCACAGATGGCGACAGTAGATGAACAGAGGCTGATGGATGGCAGAATGAACAGAATACAGTGATGTGGGGATGGGGAAAGGAAGAAACCACAATGGCTTTGAGTGGGTGACTAAGATGGGGAGCCATGGGAGGACTGGGAGCACTGCTGGGGACAGTGCTGTGGACTGAGAAAGGGCCACAAGAGCCTACTCACATGTCTTCCCAACCCCACAGTCTGTGGCATCCCACTGGCACCTTGACTTTGACCACGGAGGGAGTATTTACACAACAGCAATTAACCACGCTATCGATCAGGCCATTTACTTCAGAGAGCTGGCTTATCACACACCCCAAGGTGAGAAGGAGAAAGAGTAATTCAATCTAGAATATGCTCTAGGTTATTTTATCTCAGATTATCTCTGGATCCTAAGATTTTTAACTTTCTTCATAGTTTTACATGATGTCTAAGCTTTTTATAAACAGCATTAATCTTATAGGTAGGAAAAATTAATATGAAGAAATCCTTATTCACAGGCAGGAGATGTGGCTCAGTGTTTGAGTACTTGCCCAGCATATGCCGGTCCCTGGGTTCAATTCCCAGCTTTAATGATAAAAAAAATCATTATTTGTAAAATGAAATGAAGCAAATCTAACTTTCACAGCAGCAGACTCTCTCCCCAGGCAGGGGCCCATGTTTTCCTGAGTAGGTGGAAGTAAACCAGGTAAGGGCTTGGCTGGGTTGCAGCAGGTGGCTGAGCTGTGGCTCCCGCTTCCCAGGGCGTCCTATAACCTTTTCTTCCCTTTTCTCCAGGAGAAAGACACTTAATTCCCTCATGATTCTGCCTTCATTGAAGCTAGGCTTTTAGTATTAGATCCCAGAAGATATCAAGGTCAAAAGTCAAAACAAAACAAGCCTAATCTGGGTGTGGTGCCATTTGCCTATAATCTCAGCACTCAGGAGGCTGAGGCAGGAGGATCAAGACTTCAAGGCTAAACTAGGATTGGAGTTCAAAGCCAGCCTGGGCAAATAGTTCAAGAGACCCTATCTCAAAAAAAAAAAAAAATCACAAAAAAGGGCTGGTGGAATTGTTCGAGGCGTAGGACCTGAGTTCAAGCCCCAGTACCACAAAAAAAAAAGAGTTCAAGGCCAGCCCAAGCCTGTCTCAAAAAAAGAAAGAAAGAAGGAAGGAAGAAAAAAAGAAAAGAAGAATTTGATTATATGTTTAAATGTGAGCTCATGCCTCATGCTTGTAATCCTAGCTACTCAGGGGGCAGACATCAGGAGGATCACAGTTCAAAGCCAGCCCAGATAAACAGTTCTTGAGACCCTATCTTGAAAAACACCCATCATAAAAAAAGGGCTGGTGGAGTGGTTCAAATGGTAGAGTGCCTGTAGGCTCTGAGTTCAAACCCCAGTACCAAAAAAAAAAAATGTGGAAAAGATCTGTGGGAATGGATGTGTGTGCACATATGTATGTGTGTGTATGTGTTGTGCAGGTGTGTAAGCACATGTGTGTATGTTGCTGAGGATTGAACCCAGGGACTCATGAATGTTAGATATAGCCCCCCCACCAAGAGGAGAAAAATGTAGGGGATAAACCAATTCACCTTATAATGCATACATACATGGAAATGTTACAATGAAACTCCCTATGTGGAAGGTAAAGCAGGTCCTGTTGGGGGAGTTGGTACCAGTGGGTGGAGGAGGATATGAGGAAAGGGTGTTGGAGGGTGAATATGGTGAAAATGTTATGTACTCATGTATGAAAGTGGAGAAATGAAACCTGTTGAAAGTATTCCAGGAATGGGGGGAGGGAAGATAAGGGAGAATAATGGAAGGCATGAATTTAACTATGATATATTATTAGCACTTTTATAAATGTCACAATGTATTTCCCAGCACAAAAAATAATATGGTGATAAAAATAAAAAATTGAAGAAGTCATATAACAACAAATTAACCATTGTAAGAGTACAATTTCATGGCGATCAGTATATTAAAAATGTTATGTAACCACCACCTCTCTGTGTAGTTCCAAAACATCTTCATCACCCCAAAAGAAAACTCCATACCCATTCAGTGGTCAGTATCCACTCTTCCTTGTCATGGTACCAGACAATTTTCTTTCTCTTCCCATAAATTTATTTATTCTAGACAGCTCATAAAATTGAAATCATGGCTTTCATAAAATTGAAATATGGCTTTTTTAGTTAACATAATGTTTTTGAGGTTCACCATGTTGTAACATGTTTAAGTACTTCCTTTTAGGGCTAGCAGAGTGCCTCAAGCAGTGACAGAGCCTGCTTAGCAAGCATGAGGCCCTGAGTTCAAAACCCCAGTGTTACCAAAAAAAAAAAGAGAGAAAAAGAAATGGTACTTCCTTTTAATGACCAAATAATATTCCATTATATGTATATGCTACATTTTGCTTACCTTCTCATTTGTTGATGTATCTTTGGGTTGTTTCTACCTTTAGGCTATTGTTAATGATGCTTGCATGAACATGTACAAGTATCTGAGTACTCATTTTAAATTCTTTTGTACATAAAACTAGGAGCAGAATTGCTGGATATTTTAGTAATACCATGTTTAATTTATTGAAGAATCACAAAAAAATGGCTACACCATTTTTCCTTCTCATAGGCAGTGTGTGAGGGTTCTAATCTACCCATATCCTCACCAACACCTAGAATTTTCCAATATAAAAATATAGCCATGTTAATGAGAATGGATTTTGAGGATACCTGACCAAGAAAAGCAGAATGTTATTGTATTTATTTACTTATTGGCAGTACTGGGGTTGAACTCAGGGTGTCATGCTTGCTAGGCAACCACTCTACCACTTCAGTCATGACTCCAGCCCTATTCACTTTAGTTTTCAGATAGGGTCTCATGTTTTTGCCTTTGCTGGACTCTAACTACAGTCTTCCTGTCTTGGCTTCCCAAGTAGCTGGGATTGGATGCCACCATGCCTGGCCGTAATAATACTATTTTAGATAGGCCTGCATTAGTCCATAAGGAAGGAGTGTCTGACATGGTTGTAGTGGGGTGCTGAAAACCAGCTCTGAAAACAACTACAAGCCCAATGCATGCATCCTGATTGTGTAATACTTGCTGATTTTCATGGTGCAAATCCTTCATTCCGCTATGGCTGATTTCAAGTCACTAATGGGTTAGTAATTTCAAATTTTTAAAATTGACAGTTGGTTCTTGTAAACTGGCTAAGTGTGGCTACAGCACACTACTGTGGGTTCTAAGGAGTGTGGGGAGACTCTGGTAAAAGATAGACCTGGCCCATGACAAGGAGATCGGAGATGCCAGAAATGCCTGGGAGAACAGTTTGAGGGTGGAGGGCAGCTATCCAGGAATATATGCATAGGTCAGGGAGAGGCACCCATCTCTCTAGAACAAGCAATAGGATGGGGTTCTGACCCCTGACACTGGGCCCAGATTCTCAGCCAAGGGGACTCTCAGTGGTTCTGACACCACTGAAAACTTGACTGAGCCCTGATCCATCTTGCTTGCTATTACTGTAGCACACACATCAACACAAGACCAAGCACAGCAGTGAGGACGAAAATGGAAGTGAGGATGTGTTTCAAGTGCAGTTTCCAGTGTTGGGGAGTAGCTAAAGTTAGCCCAGCCCCATTTTCCTGCATCTTCAAATCTTAATTTAAATGGATTTTTCTCCATAATGACCTTTAAAACACAGACTCAGACACTTTTTGATATGTTCAGTGTACATGGTAGGCAAGCACTCTACCACTGAGCTGCACCTTTGGCCCCTAAAATTTTAAAATTTAATCCTTAATAAGATTAGGTTGTTAAGACTGGGCACCAGTGGCTCATGCCTATAATCCCAGTTATTCAGGAGAAAGAGATCAGAAAGATCAAGGTTTGAAGCCAGCCCCAGGCAAATAGTTCATGAAGACCCTATCTCATAAAACCCATCACAAAGAAGGGCTGGTGGAGTGATTCAAGGAATAGACTCTGAGTTCAAACTCCAGCACCATAAAAAAAAATTATTAGGTAACCTTGAAATCAAAATAGGAAGTGTTTTCAAGCTCAGACTACTACCCCAGCCCTCTTGTAAACACAGAAGAAGCCATTTGTCATCACACTGTAGTTATCTTGTTACTATGGATTAAACTCTCTAGGTAATTACCCTGATGAACACTAACAGAGCATTGCATTTAAACACATCCCAAGATAGCTCCTTTATGCTTACCTGCAATTATTCTGCAATACCTCTTTTCTAACTCTGGAAAATTCTTCAGTGTTTTGTTCAACATGCTCAATTTTGCATCTTAAAGCTCGATACTTGGCAAGAGCTGGTGGATTAGGTTTGTTCAAGTGAGTTTCACAGACATTAACCATGTCTCTTATTAGCTGTAGGTGGAAATGATATGCAGATGTTAGAAGCTCCACACATCAAAGTTAGTAATTCTAAAACACTAACACTTTCTCAAAAGGATCAGAAAAATAAATTTTTCCTATAAGGTTTTTTATCAATTGGCTGTTAGTAGTGTGTTGAAGTTAATAAAAGCTGGGTGTGGTGGTACACTCTTGTAGTCCCAGCTACTTGGGCAGCTAAGGCAGGATCATTTGAATCTAGGAGTTCAAGGCCAGCCTGGACACAGTGAAATCTTGTCTCAAAAACCAAAACAAAACAAAAACTAAAAACACAAACAATTCTGCTGGGGACCCCCTCAGAGGAGATGCTACAAGTTTCTGTAGCCACACATTGCTTGTGAGGGAGCGAGGTGACAGTGGTGCTGACACTTTACAGGGAGATGAAAAGTCTGACCAACGGAGTCATGGAATGGCCTGAGCCAGCAGCATCTCACATGTGGACTCCAGAGATGTGGACTCACTGTTTAGTAGGTTGCACTTTACTTTTTCTTCTGTAGAAAGACTTCTAACTCATCAGAAAATTATTTTTGCAGCACAGCAATTCTAAAACATTTCTGCATTTGTACATTATGCAATACATTCATGATTGGGAATAAGATTTGGATAACTTGGGGAAGAACCCAGAGCATACTAGAATGGTTCAATTAATTTTTAAGTGCAATTCTAGAGATATTTTTGTGAGTAGGTGTTACCTTTATGCATCATACTTTTAAAGACATGCCTTTCCAACATATTTTAAATTGAATCCTTTTTTTTTTTTTTTTGGCAGCACTGGGATTTGAACACGGGGCCTCACACTTGCTAGGCAAGCGCTCTTACTGCTGAGTCACTCTACCAGTCCTAAACTGAATGCTTCATTTCAGAGGCTTACCTGGCAGAGGTCCTCCTTCTTAGCTAATAGTCTCAGGTTGACTTCTCCGGTTGGTGCCCTCTTGTGAGGGATCAGTCTGTAGAACTCAGTCATCATCTTCTGCAACTGTTCTGCCATTTCTCCACTCTTCAGTGCCTTCCTTACTAGAAGGAGAATCCCCTCTGCCTTGTTAACCTTTAAGCAGAAAGTCATATAAGCTTATTAAAATCAAATCTTGATAATTATGGAAGAAGTAAAGGAAGGACTAAAGTAACTGTTGCATTGCAACTATCAGTTTTCTACTGGATTGCCATGGTTTGGGTCTGAAAGACCTGTGCGTTAGAGCCTGGTTCCCAGGGAGGTGCCATTGGGAGGGGTGGAACCTTTAAGAGGTGGGGCTCGTGGAAGTGTTTAGATCATTCAGGATACGTCCTTTGAAGGAGACTTAGACCTCAGCCGCATTCTTCCTTTTCTTTTCTTGGTACTAGGGTTTGAACTCAGGGCCTCACTTCTTTTTCTTTTTGGTTCCTGCTGGGGATGTAGTTTAGTGGTAGAGAGCTTGCCTAGCATGTGCAAGGCCCTGAGTTCGATCCCAGCAGTGCAAATAAGTAAATAAATAGAATACTTCTCTTTTTTTGCTTCCTGGACATGAGGGGAGTGGCTTTGCTCTGCCACACACTCCTGCCATGACATGCTGTCTCACCACAAGCCCAAAACAATGGGAGCCCAAAACAAGCCCAATCAATCACGGATTGAAAACTCCAAACTTATGAGCCAAAAGAAAACTTTTCTTTTATAACTTGATTATCTCAGGTATTTCATTATAGTGATAGCTGACCAACATACCTTCCATTAATCAAATGCTGATATCAAGGTATAGTGTGGTTGTGACAGTGATGCCATGAGAACACTTCCAAAATAGGCTCAACTTAACTAGACGAAAGAGCCAGTCCTTTTTTTATTAGTAATAATGGGGTTTGAACACAGGGCCTTGCACTTGGTAGGCAAGTGCTCTACTACTTGAGCCACACCTCTAGCCCTTTTTGCTTTAGTTATTTTTCCAATAGGGTCTCACGTTTATGCCTGGGCTGGCCTGGACCACGATTCTCATATATATGTCTCCTGTGTAGCTGGGACAACAGGCACCCACCACCAGGCCCAACTTATCGGTTGAGATGGGATCTCAGGAACTTTCTGCCCAGGCTAGCCTCAGTCCTCAATTTCTCCTGATCTCTGAATCAGGAGATTACTGGTGTAAACTATAACATCCAGTCTAGAGTTGCTTATGTCTATATATATGCACATGTATATGTGTGCATATGTACAGACAGACAGGAGAACACTAATACAACTGAGGGAGACTTGCTTTTCACATGAGAGATGTAGAAAGATGTCAGCATCAAACCAGGAACAAAACCCACCAGACTATATTACTAATTGCACAAGGGCTTCGTGAATTTTACCCCAGGAAACCTTTAACTACCTGAAACATATTAGCTTAACTCCATAGGGGAAACTTATTTTCATATGACAATGCTATTGCATAAGTTGCATCGTTAAGGATATCATCTTTCATTTGCTGTATCAGTTGCAATTATACTTAAGCAAGACAAGAATAGCATTTTCTAGCTGGGGGCTGGTGGCTCACGCTTGTAATCCTAGCTACTTTGGAGGCAAAGATCAGAGAGATTTTGGTTCAAAGCCAGCCAGAGCAAATAGTTCATGAGACCCTATCTCAATAACACCCAACATAAAAAAGGGCTGGTGGAGCGGCTCAAGTGGTAGAGTGCCTGTCTAGTAAGTGTGAGGCCCTGAGTTCAAACCCCAGTACTGCCAAAAAAAAAAAAAAAAGCATTTTCTGGTGGGCTAGAAGCCTGCCTTCCTTTCCTAAGACAATCAGGAGGTGAGAGACGGAAGAAGCTGTGGTGAAATAGGTCAGGGTCTGGGCATCTAATGGGGGACCAAGACTACCCGCGTCTCTCAGGCCTACTTTAAACCTCTTGGCCCAGCCAATCGGCCTCTTACCTAGCCACGGCAAAGCTTGCCATTGTACAGACAGGGACAATCTAATTTCTTGGGAAGTCTACTTTCCCTTGGGTTTTCTCCATGTTCCCCTTCTTCAGGGTCCAAGGAAATAACAGTCAGGAATGGACTCCAGGGCAATCAGGCAGCACACCATTGTGAGTACTTATAATACAGCAGGAAGCAAGTAGCCATGTTGTCTCCACACTTGACTTACATCATTGAGGCTAATCCTGTTCACTGGCCCGAGAAGCATGTGCTCCAGGTGGCCCAGGGCTTCTGCCCAAATCAGCTCCACTAAATCGCTCACCTCCCGGCTCAGAGGGCTGGAATTTTTGACCTCCTCCAAAAGCAACTGCAATAACAAAGAACCACCACCAAAAAATCATCATGAGTCACTTCATTTAAAACTAACACAAAGGCTGGGGGGTGTAGCTTAGTGGTAGAGTGCTTGCCAGGCAACACAGGAGGCCCTGAGTTCAACCCCTCAGCGCTGCAAACAAACAAACAAGCCTAACACAGGTCAACAAACAAAGGGTGTGAGAAAAAATAATTATTACAGCTTAGGAGAGTCACTCTTGGATAGGTGCTGTGGTGTGGAAACAGTTGGTGTGTGTCCCCCAAAGGTTCATACGCAGGAAGCAGTCTCCAGTGTGGCTAGGTCAAAGCACCACTAATGCAGTGGGTTAGAGCTTGCCTCACCGAAGGGCTGTTACTTCCCTTTGGGCTTCTCCACCATGTTGTGGTGCAGCCAACAGGTCCTTATTGGGATTCCAGCAGTATGCTCTATTACCTCCCAGCCACCAGGATTGTGAGTCAAAAAACCTATTTACCTCTAAAGTACTCAGCCACTTGTGAGAGCATCACAAAAAGGACTAAGAGACCAGGTAATGGTAACACTCAGGCCTCCTCTCTGCTGAGCTATTTGGCCCTCCTCTCTGATTGTCCCCACCCCCATTCTCCTTGCTTCCACTTATTTTTCCTCTTGTCTTTTCCTTCACCCTGTAGGTTTGAGGCCTGTCAGTGGTATTTAACACTTGCGGTCAGGGTTAAGGATCCTTGACTCATGGCAGGGTAAAAAAGGCCCCTAAGGCATGCTGCTGTTGTAAGCCACCCACTCACTCACGGCTCAGTTTCCATTTGTTAACTCACCATCTTCTCTCCTGCCAGTTATTTATTTGTAATAAAGAAAGCATTAAAAATATTCAATTACATAAAATACCATGTATTAACTGATCTTACTGCTTGCAACTTTTCAGATGCTAATTGAGTGACTTCGGGTGTAAAATGTTCTCTGAGCAGGAATCCTTGTTTCTTCAGGTCTTCAATGTAATTTTCGTAAAACTCACTTGCACCTGCAGAGGTTTTCTTTACTGTGAACTGTCTTCTTGTCTGCGAATTATAGAATACACAAAAGGTACGTAACTTATTAACACATGTACCTTTTTTTTTTCATTTTTCTTTTATTATTCATATGTGCATACAAGGCTTGGTTCATTTCTCCCCCCTGCCCCCACCCCCACCCTTACCACCCACTCCGCCTCTTCCCTCTCCCCGCCCAATACCCAGCAGAAACTATTTTGCCCTTATTTCTAATTTTGTTGTAGAGAGAGTATAAGCAATAATAGGAAGGAACAAGGGTTTTTGCTGGTTGAGATAAGGATAGCTATACAGGGCATTGACTCACATTGATTTCCTGTGCGTGGGTGTTACCTTCTAGGTTAATTCTTTTTGATCTAACCTTTTCTCTAGTACCTGCTCCCCTTTTCCTATTGGCCTCAGTTGCTTTAAGGTATCTGCTTTAGTTTCTCTGCGTTAAGGGCAACAAATGCTAGCTAGTTTTTTAGGTGTCTTACCTATCCTTACCCCTCCCTTGTGTGCTCTCGCTTTTATCAAACACATGTACCTTTACTGAACACCTGCTGCCTACTATGAAGGAGTTTAGAAACTAGTTTTCTCAAAGAGTTCCTTAAATCTTCCATTTTTCACAAAAGCCTGGAGGTAAGGGAGAAAAAAGCTTGAGCAGGCACAGCAGACAGAAAAAGGACCCATTTTATTCCTGGAGAGTCACTCAAACACTCATTCAGAGCCTACAGATTATTACTTTGCATATTAGTCAAAAGTCTGAATTCTAGCTTTGTGAAAATGCAAAAAGTAAATGGAGGGGAAAGTAAAGGAAAATACCTTGCACGCTATGGTATTGTTAGAGACAGGTACACGGTCAACACAAAATGACACCATCCAGCAAGAGGCAGGAACGCTTTGATGTTACACAAACAATGTTAACCACACAGAACAAGGGGTCTTTCGACCCCTTCCTCATTCAAGACTGACTTCGGATGTGGCATTTTCTGGTCTTCTTGGAAATCCTTGCCTGTAGTGAGCAGTTTTCCTACCATTAACCCCAGACAATACAGAAGTACTTGCCCCAGTTGGGAGAAGTCCTGCTGTGGCTTGGGGTGTGAGGTCCTAGGGAGAAGTCACACTACTCATGACACTGATAAGCCACCCTCTCAGACTAGTGGCTGCAGGACACCTCCGGTACTTGCAAAAACAGAGTGTATTTCAAAGGTGTGAGCACTGTCATAAGGCTAGGCATTAACTCTGGATTTATTTTTTTTCATGACTTTCAAGAAGGAGGGTGCAGCTAGGTGCTGGTGGCTCATACCTGTACTCCTAGCTACTCAGAAGGCTGAGCTCAGGAGGACTGCAGTTTGAAGCCAGCCCGGGCAAATGGTTTTCAAGACCCTAGCTCAAAAATCCTTCACAAAAAAAGGCTGGTGGAGTGGCTCAAGGTGTAGGCCCTGAGTTCAATTCCCAGTATTGCAAAAAAAAAAAAGAAAGAAATATCCCATAGGTGATGTGAAATCCAAGCCAGTGTGGTAATGGACTCCTGAATTCCCAGCACTCCAGAGGCTGAGGCGAGAGGATTGTGAATTAAAGACCACCTACATAGTGAGACCCTGTCTCCAGAAACCAAAACCAGGCTGGATGCCTGTGGCTCACACCTACAATCGTAGCTACTCAGGAGGCAGAGATCAGGAGGATTGAGGTTCGAAACCAGCCCAGCCAAAAAGCGAGACCCTGTTTTCAAAATATCCCCCATAAAAAAGAACTGGCAGCATGGTACAGTGCTTGTCTAGCAAGTGTGAGGCCCTGAGTTCAAACCCCAGTACTGCAAATAAAAAAGAAAACTGAAACAAAAAAAACAGAGCAGAAGTCCTATACTCCCTACACCCAGTAAATATTTTCCTGGTGGGACTCTGAGTGTTTGAGTGACTCTAGCTAAGGAAGGGACATAGTCCTTATTTCTCACACTACAAAAGAAAGCACATTTGTACTTTGGGGAACTATTTACCAGGTGTTACAGGCTGAACTGTGCCCTCCTCCTCAATTCGTACCCTGAAGTCCTGGGTGTATGCCCACTGAAGTACCAGGCTAACCAGTACTTTGGGATGGCATGGTACTTGGAGATGAGCCTTTAAAGAGGTAATTGGGCTAAATGAGGCCACGAGGGTTGAGCCCTGATCCAGTCTGTTTAGAATTCTTTCAAAAAGAAGAAATGAGGATTCAGACTCAGAAAGAGGGAAGACCACATGAGGATATAACAAGAATGTGACCTTCTGCAAACCAAAGAGAGGAGCCTTACAAGAAACCAACCCTGCCACACCTTGATCTTGGACTTGCAGCTTCCAGCACTGTAAGAAACAAATGTCTGTCGGTTAATCTACCCAGCCACCAAATATCACAGTACTTGTTACAGCAGCGCCAGCTGACTAAGACACCAGGTGAGAAAAAAAGCTTAGTAGGTTGTTTGACTCTGTGACTAGTTTTAGGGAAACTTGTTATGAGCTGGGGAGAATAAACATACAGGAGCCAACAGAAGGAGGATTACCTGCATGCTGTCAACAAGGAGGAAGTGTGCAGCTATCACAAAAGGACAGTCCTCAGTGTCCGGGGAGCATTGCAGCTCCACGACCACGGCTTCCTGGCCTCCATCTGCTCCCACCTGGAAAACAAGGCATGCTCTCGAGGGAGACAACTAACCACACAGCATCTGAAAGTGCTGATCAGCAGGCACCCGGTGGCTCATGCCTGTGATCCTAGCTACTTGGGAGGCTGAGATCGTGACAATCTCGGTTTAAGGCCAGCCTGCACGAATAGTTCATAAGGTCCCATCTTCAAAATAACCAGAGCAAAATGGATTGGAGATGTGGCTCAAGTGGTAGAGCACCTGCCTTGCGAGTGTGAGACACTAAGTTCAAATTTCTGTCCCACAAAATGACAGGAAGTCATTTTCTTTTTTCTTTTTTGAGATAAGGCCTCACTATGTAGCTTAAGCAGGCCCGAAACTTGCTTATGCAGTTCAGGCTGGCCTTGAATTTGGAATCTTCCTACCTTAGCCTCACCTATGCTGGGATTACAGATGTATACTGCCATGCCAGTTTCTTACTTTCTTTTTTTTGTGGTACTAGGGATTGAACTCAAGGTCTTCTGCTTGCTAGGCACAAGCTGTACCACTGAGTGCTAAGCCACATACCCAGTCATTTTGCTTTTAGTTTGTTTTTCAGATAGGGTCTCTTGATAACTTTGCTTGGGCTAGCCTCAGAGCAGAATCCTCCTACCTACCTCTCCCAGGATTGCAGAAGTGCATCACCATGCCTGCCTTGTTGGTTGAAATGGGGTCTCACTAACTTTTTGTCTGGGCTGGCCTAGCACCTCAATCTTCCCCATCTCGGCCTCCTAAGTATCTTTCATTCTAAATAGAAATCAGAATCTTACTTTTTCCAAGATATTATATTTTGCAACTTCAAAGTCTTCAGGGAAATTAGGAATCACAGTATTTTCTTCATAAAACCTGAAATTTGCATAATTAAGATTTTAACATTGAAATGTATTTTTAGTTAAAATGAAATGTTACAGTATGAAAAACATGATAAGTCTCTAATGCCTCCTTAGCTATTGTAGAGGTGGCTAAAAAATGGTGGCAAAATAAATCAGATTTCTTCCTTTGCATAATTAATTTTTTCTCCTCCCCCCCCTTTTTTTTTTCTTTTGCAATGCTGGGAATCAAACCCCGGGCCTCTCTGCCACTTGAACCACACCAGCAGCCCTTTTGTTTCTATTTTTGTTCTTGCTAGCTTTTCCTGGGCTTGCCTTGAACTCAAGATCCTCCTATCTGTACCTCCTGCTTCCCAAGTAGGAAGGAAGGAAGGAAAGAAAGGGAAAGGAAAATGAAAGAAAAAATAAGTTATTTTTATGTGTCTTTTTTTTTTAAACATATAATCTCACTGGTCTTAATTTCCCAATCCTCCTGCCTCAGCCTCCCAAGTGCTGGGATTACCACCATACCTGACCTGGCACTATTTTTTTTTTTCTTTTGGCAGTACTGGGTCTTGCACTTGCTAGGCAGGTGCTCTATCACTTGAGCCATGCCCTTACCCCTTTTCATTTTAGTTATTTTTCATATAGGGTCTACCGTTTTTTTTCGCCCAGGGATAGCCGTGGGCTGTAATCCTCTTACCTGCCTCTCAAGTAGCTGGGATGATGGATGTGCACCACCACACCCAGCACTATTTTTGATTGGACATATTTAGGAGGTACAGAGTGATAATTCAATACATGTATATGATGTAATGATCAAGTCAGGGTAATTAGCATTTCCATCTTCCTCCAAATAATTGTGGAGCCCTGATGCCAGGACTATGCACGTCTGTATCAGGAGGCAGGTGCACAGAAGCAGAGGCAGAGAAGAGGTTGTGACCTACTCTGAAGACAGGCACCATGTGTGCTGGGGGGCTCTGACCCTTAGTGGATTCACTCCTGTCAACTCTTCTTTAAGATAAAAGAGTACGACTTATGTGGACTTTTTATCATTAATGTTACTATTTCCATATATGGTATGACCAATGTGATGCTTAATTCACATTGCAGTTAGTTTGTTTTTTCTGCAGTACTAGGGCTTGAACTCAGGGCCTACACTTTGAACCAGCCCTTTTTTGTGAAGGGTTTTTTTCCAAGATAGGGTCTTGTGAACTATTTGCCTACGCTAGCTTTGAACCGTGATCCTCGTGATCTCTGCCTCCTGCAGCTAGGATTACAGGCGTGAGGGTACCTGCCACATTGCAGTTTTGAGAACACTTTAAGAAGTCACATAAACTTTTAGGTTTGCTTACCCCACCTGGGGAAGAGGACTGTCATTTCCACTTTTTTAAAATACGACATGGAAGGGTAAGGAACTGTCTTTAAACATTGTTCATAAGTTAACAGAGTGAGCAGCAGGTTGTCCAAATCTCATTGCCAGTGAGATCTTTTTAAAAATCAATTAGTCTAATAATTACCATATCTAGAAGATAAAATAATTATCACTATCATAGCTGAAGTAAAAAAGTCTTAACTAAGTAAAATCTGAATAGTCAGATAAGGAAAATAAATCAAAATACTACAGAAGTATGCATAGTATTGTTGTTTGTTTTGTTAGATAAAGTCTTGTTACATGGCCTAGGCTGTGCTTAAACTTCATATCCTTCTGCCTCAGCCTCCTAGGGCTGGAATTATAGGTATAAGCCACCATACCCAGTTACAGATAGCATTTTAATACTGTGCTTGAAGTTTACAAAATATTTAGGTTACTCAGTGACTTCTGGGTTTTCCTTCTCTGGGATGCTGTCCAAGGATAGATCATCTGTTTCCATTTCTAGAATTAAAACAAACAAAAAATACTTGTTTATTGTGCAAAAGTTTATTATAATTAACTGTTCACTGCTAGAATTGTCAAGATTCTTAAATATGGGCCGTATTTGTTATGCAAATCTTTTTTTTTTTTTTGGCTCTGGGGATCAAACCCAGGGTTGTTAGATAAGTGCTATACAACTGAGCTACAGCCTTCCAGCCCCAACTGTACCTGTGTGTGTGTGTGTGTGTGTTATTAGTTTGAACTCAGGGCCTTCACCTTGAGCTACTCCACCAGCCCTTTTTTGTGATGGGTTTTTTTGAGATAGGGTCTCACAAACTATTTGCCCAGGCTAATTTTGAACTGCGATCCTCCTGATCTCTGCCTCCTGAGTAGCTAGGATTGTAGGCGTGAGCCACTGGAACCCGGCTCCCACCTATGTATTTTTAAGACAGTCTCACTCTGTTGCCCAAGTTTTTTTTTTTGTTGTTTGTTTGTTTGTTTTGACTATGGTGGTGCTAAGGATAGAACACAGAGCCTTGCACATGCTAGAAAATGCTTTACCATTGAGCTACGACTCCCTATACCCTCATCCGCACCCCACCTGAGAAAGTATTTTTTTCTTTTTGATGGTACTGGGGTTTGAACTCAGGGCCTCACACTTGCTGGGCAAGCACTTTACCACTTGAGCCACTCTGCCAGCCCTGTTTTGTGTTGGGTATTTTCAAGATAGGGTCTCTCCAACTATTTTCCTGGGGCTGGCTTTGAACCAAGATTCTGAGTAGCTAGGATTATAGGCATGAGCTACCAGTATCTGACTTTGATTTTTTTTTTTTAATGTGAATCATGAGGCTTTTTTTTCTCCTTGGTCGGATTGCAAAATAAAATCTGGTTTTATAAGTGAGATGTTTTAGGGAGATCATCTTTTGAAGGAACTTGTTTAATAAAATACTGGTCACAAAATTTCTAGTCATTCTTTTTTTTTTTTTTAAACAAAAAGGCTTTCAATATCCCTAATTACAGCTCAAGTCTTCTGAGATTATTAGTGTTTGTGTGTCATTTGCATGTGACCACACTAGACTGAATATTAAGAAGTCTATTTTTTTTTCAGAAAGGGTCAAAACATTGTATTCTTTTTTAATAAAGTTAAACAGTAAGACAAAAATTCACAAGCTCCCTCCCCTCCCCATTCTTCAGTACTGGCTTCCTTTCCTTCACCCCAGTCACACAGACACAGAGCATCCAAATGAGAAAACGAAACTGCTCTAAGTACATGGAGACATGACGAAGGGAGGAGGTGAATGTGTCCATATTCAAGGTTAAACTGAGCAAATCTGCATTTTCTGGGTTCTGGTTGGTTGCCCTTCATTAGCCAAACTGAAAAAAGAAATTCCCTGGACCAGATGCTTCAAAGCTGAAGCCCCCTAGACCGCCAAAGAATGCCTTGAAGATATTGTTTGCATCAAAATCACCCATATTCATGCCCTCCTCATTCATGTCCTGTCCACTGTCATAGCGAGTCTTTTTCTTGGGATCAGAAAGGATGGTAAAGGCCTCTCCGACTTCTTTGAACTTTTTCTCCTCCTCCTCCTTCTGAACCTCAGCACCGGCTCCACTGTGCCGATCTGGATAGTGCATCAAGGCTCATTTCCAATAAGCTTTCTTGATCTTGTCTTCAGAGGCATTCTTGTCCACTTCAAGGATCTTGTAGTAATCTTTCCTTTTACTCTTCTTCAGTTCCAGCTGTGCATTTTAAAGAGCTGTTTGTGTTCTTTTGTTTTCTCCGTCTGATACACTTTTTCATAGTCCCACAAACTGCTTCTTCATACTGCTCTGTGTCCATGTAACACTGAGCTCTTCTCAAGTAGTGTCATCGAGCTTCACTGCCTGTGTGCAGTCTTCTATTGCACCATCTAGTTTCCTGAGCTTGGAATTCACCATACCCTGATTACAGTAGAGTTTAGCATTTGTTTTTACATTGTTGGGGTCTATCCCTAGGGCTTCTGAGTATAGTTCATACGCTAGCTTGTAATTTCCTTCCTTAAATGCTTTATTCCCATCTTCTTTCTTTGCTTTAAGGCCTTTGGCATTTCTGCAAGCAACAAAAGCCTTCTCAAGGTCAGGAGCCATCCAGACAGCCTGTACAAAAAACGGAACCGCCTTTCCAATACAACTTCATGATAAAGGCAAAGATCTGGTACATACAGAGCATCGATATTGGTGGAATCCACTGTAAAATGTCACTCGCCAGACTGTGCTTCTGGATATCGACCCAACATTGCTGAACATTCTGCTTTGAGGATTTTGAAGTGATGGCAGGCAGGGGCAAATTCTAGGGCATGATCCATGCAGAAAACAACCTTCCGAAATCTCGCTCCTCAAAATCCGTTTCTGCTGTTTTCTCATATTCCATGACCGTGTTAGCATTCTTGAACTCCTGTTGTGCCTGAGCATTTTTGTGATCCAGTTCTAGGGCTCTCTGGTAACTGCGACATGCGGCCATGGCATTCCCTAGTGAGAGGTGGTGCTTGCCTTCTCATAGATGTCCCTGGAGGAAACTGCCATGCAGCCTCCCTGCCTGTTGTGCATCTGCAAGAGCTTCCTGGAACTTTCCGAGCATCCTCAACGTGGCTGCTCCATTACCATAATAGCTAGCATTTTAGGACACATATCTATGGTTTTTGTGTAATAGTTATAAGCTTCATTGTAATCTTTCTTGGTATAGCATGCATTTCCGTGTTCCTTGGACTCTGCTTCCCTCTTCGCTTCTCCGTCCTCGAGCAGCTCTGGCTGGGTCACCGCCATGACCCCATCGCACTGTGCTGCAGCTTTCCGGAGGGACCAGGGCACCGAGTGGGAGGCGGGAGGAGCATCGAGCCGCTCGGCGGCCACTGCTAAATTAGTATTTCATTCTTCCCTGTTTTGTTGCCTGTTTTCTGAGGTAAAATGAAATCTAATTGTTTCTGTAGTTTTTCTGGACACATCAATGTCTATAGTATCTTTGAACAACCCAACTACCTCTATAGCATCCACAATACATTAAGTGCTTGTTAGGAAATGCTTACCAAAACTACTAGGCTTTGGGTCAGGGGGTGGCGTGACAGCCTGTGACTTATTAGGACCGTAGTTTTTCACATCCAAGAGTCTCCTTTCTTTGATGGATTCCCATATAAAATCTGGGTTAGCAAGATGGATGTGGTTCTTCTGGATAGCGTTCAGCTGGTGCTGACTCAGAATGTCGGCATTGTCCAAGATTACATGTGTGCACTAGAGAAATGAGACAATTCATTATGCATCAGCAAAAACAAAATGCAAGCATGCATTATTTCTATCTGCACTTTTCACAACTGAAAGTCTTGTTTTAATGTAGTTGAAATTTTTCTTCAGATTTTGAACACCCTTGTAAATAATACTTGTAGTTACATAAAAAAATTAACAAGTTTTCTTTCATTAGGATTTGTGGTGCTGGGGTACAAATCCTTGGTCTTGATCATGCTAGACAAGAGTTCTTCCACTGAGCTACTGCCCAGTTAGGAAAACAACAGTTTTTAAAGAATATGAACATGGGCGTGCCATAACTGATCAACCAGCATTACAGGTGTTCCCAGGTGTCCACTACTGTGAACAATGCTGTGAACACTCATAAGTCGATATCTGTATGCACTTGTTCAATTATCTCTTTAGGAGAGGAAAGGGAGGCTCACAGGGTTTTCATTTATTTCTTTTGGTAATTTGTACTTAATAATATTTAGTTTTGAATAAATAGTATATGCATATTATAGAATATCCAAAAAGTAAAATAATAACAATGTTAAATTCTTCCTCTTTGTTGTTCACAGTTTGTTTCCCCAGAGGTACCTGTTGTAACCAGTTCCTCATCTATCTTCTAGAATTATTCTATGCACAGATGGCACACACATAAGTGCACAAATGGCAGCCATTCTTCTGCCCTTGCTTTCCATCTAATACTTTCTCTTGGAGCTCATTCCTCATCATGTCTCCCTTCTCCCTTCCCTCCCTTCCCCTTTCCTTTTTTTTTTTTTTGTTCTTTTCCCTTTTTTTTTGTTTGAGACAGTATCTTGCTATGTAGACCCTGGCTGAACTGGAACTTCTTTTTTTTTTTGGTGGGACTCTATTGCTTGAGCCACATCTCTAGTCCATTTTACTCTGGTTATTTTGGAGATGGGCAGGGTTTGGGGAGCTATTTGCCTGGGGTAGACTCAAACCATGGTCCTCCCAATCTCAACATCTCAATTAGTTAGGATTATAGATGTGAGCCACTGGTGCCTGGCTTGGCCTGGAACTTTTGATCCCCCTGGCTCAGCCTCCTGTGTGCTAGGGTTACAGGTATGTAATGCCCAACTATGCCTACTTCCTTCTTTCCCTTCCTCTCTCCCTCCTTCCTTTCCTCTATTCATCCTTCTTGCCTCTTTCCCTCCCATTTGTTTGTTTTGAGACAGGATCTCCTAGCCCAGGGTTGAGATCCTCATGCCTCTACCTCCCAAGTGCTGAAATTACAGGCATGTGCTACTATACCCAGCCAATTCCTTCATAATAGCTGGCATGCATGTTCCAAGCATTTATATATATTGGCAAAAAAAAAAAAATCCAAAAGATTTCATGGACAATATGTGAGTTTCTAAAAAGGAGAGCCCAAGCTAGCCATTCTCCACCAGAAGAGGAACCAAGGAGGAAGAACAGGAATGGATTACTCATCCAGCCACAGAAATGGAGAGGCAGGTAAGCAAGGGAAGCCATGCGATGGAAACAAACACAAGTCTGCCTGAAGTGAGGTGACTGGGGACCTTTCATGTGTGTATTCTGTTGGAACTGAACTTGCTTTATCCCTGGCTAGGGAGGTATCCAGGGAGTCCCTCACTAACAGAGGAAAAAGCAAGGGACAAGGGCAGGCAGGGCTGGGACCTAACGCCTTTCAACTTGTACTTTTTACAATGAGGTGGTTAAGAAAGAGGAGGTGCCTCACATCTGTAATCGAAGGTACTTGGGAGATATAGATTGTCAGAATCAAGGCTCGAGGCCAGCCCAGGCAAAAAAAGTTAGCAGGACCCCATCTCAACCAAAAGAAAGTTGGGCATGGTGTGAGCATCTGTCATCCCAGCTATGTGGGAAGCACAAATAGGAAGATCATAGGCATAAAAGAGAGACCCTATTTAAAAATTAACTAAAGCAAAAAGAGCTGGGGGAGTGTCTCAAGTGGTAGAGAACCTGCCTCCCAAGCACGAGGACCTGAGTTCAAACCCTAATACAGTCAAAAATAAATAAATAAATAAATAAATAAATAAATAAAGAGGAGAAGGCGATTAGCCCAGGCCTACCATTCATCTCAAGAGATGGAAGTAGTTTCTTTTAGCCCTTAAACAAACAGGACAGGCTACACCAAAAAGACTGGTTTCACTGCAAGTTTTCTTTCTGCTCCCAGGAGCCATACTTATAGCTATCTCTCCAGTGATGAGCAACTGATGAGTGACCACAGTATGTGTCTTACAAATGCTGCGCACCAAGACTGCTCCCCTCCAAGAACAGATCTTGTTGATGTGACAACCTTTCTATTTACATCTTGGGCTGTGCTCCAATGACAGCAGAGTCACAGGGCATGTGAGATTGTTCTGCAGCTCCCAGAGTGGGGAAAAGACCAGGCTGGACCATCTGGCCTCCTCTGCCTCTCCTAGCCATACCTGGGCAATGTCACACTGTCTCCTGCTGCCCATCTTCTCTGCTTACTCTTGTAACCATGACCCATGGTCCCAGAATGCATCACGTTAATCATAGTGTAACTGTGAGACTTGGAAATACCTGAGGATTTAATAAGAAGGAAAACTTTCCACCATTTTCCTCAATGTCAGATTGTAGCTTTTTCTTCTGCTGACGAGGTAAATATTTGACTTTCAAATAGAAGATACAATTTGCAAAGATGCCCATAGTCATCCTGAAAGAAAAAAAAGTGTCATGTCATAGTTTTTAAGGAATCTCTTTTCAGTGAATACAATTGACAGTAATTCAGAATTGCTGTACAGGTCAGTTGTGAGAAATTTGGACTTTTTTGTTTTTTAAAAGATATTGCAATCATGTTATAAATATTAAAAGTGAACACTGTTGTTACAGTTTTGGTTTTAAATGTTCCCTCAAAGGCTCACATGTTAGAGCTTTGGTTACTAACTTGTGGTACTACTGGGAGGTGATGGAACATTAGGAGGTGTGGCCTAGTGGGAGGAAGTTAGGTCACTGGCAGTGAGCCCTTCAAGAGATATTAGGACCCTGCTTCACACCCCCAAACAGACTTCCTTTTGCCATGTGCTCCAGACTGAAATATCTGAAACCACAAGCCAAAACAAACCTTTCCTCCCTTGAAGTTGCATATCTCAGGTATTCGTCACCATGACAGTGGCTGACTGACATAACTGTCCTAGTTAGCAGTACATGTGTTGTGATGCAGGGGCTAGTCAGGAAGGTAAGACACCTGATGGCTGAAAACCATGGCTTGGATACTGATAAGGAATTGCATCCTAGACTGCTGACATTAACAGAATGGCTGACTGAGCTGCAGTCCCTGGAGTCCAAATATAGTAACAGCTCCAGTCTGACCACTAAGGCCGCCCCACTGCCCCCAACTTGTAGGAAGAGTTGATGACACATAACCCAGAGCAAAATGGACTGGAGATGTGGCTCAAGTGGTAGACACCTGCCTTGCAAGTGTGAGACACTAAGTTCAAATTCCTGTCCCACAAAATGACAGGAAGTCATTTTCTTTTTTCTTTTTTGAGCTAGGGCCTCACTATGTAACTTAAGCAGGCCTGAACTTGCTTGTGCAGTTCAGGCTGGCCTTGAATTTGGAATCTTCCTACCTTAGCCTCACCTATGCTGGGATTACAGATGTATACTGCCATGCCAGTCAGTTTCTTACTTTGTACTAGGGATTGAACTCAAGGTCTTCTGCTTGCTAGGCATGTGCTGTACCACTGAGTGCTAAGCCACATACCCAGTCATTTTGCTTTTAGTTTGTTTTTCAGATAGGGTCTCTTGATAACTTTGCTTGGGCTAGCCTCAGAGCAGAATCCTCCTACCTACCTCTCCCAGGATTGCAGAAGTGCATCACCATGCCTGCCTTGTTGGTTGAAATGGGGTCTCGCTAACTTTTTGTCTGGGCTTGGTAGACCTTCACCCTGTGAAAATGCCTTCCCCAGGCCATTTTTTAATCTGGGGTGGTAACTCGGGGTAACAAGGTACTCCTACCACACAAGGTTACTTTGAAAGATCACAATAATAATCTGTCTTCATAGGAGATTGTGTGCTCGGGAGTGCCCAACACTGTGTGGACTACAGGGAAAAAGGGCGACCTCAAAATCACTAAAATAGATAAGCTGGTGCCACGATGCCATCTTTAGCATCATGCTGCCTGAATTGCATACATACTACTTACCGCTGCATTCTTTTGCTCATTACTATAGTTACTCTAGCTTGGTTAGGAATCACAGTAGTCAGCCATTATACCCTCTGCCATGAAAGGAGATGCCAGGGCAATGCCAATAGCAATACTACCAATGGTACTAACCTCATGTGCAAGAAATTTACTAATCACACTTTGTGTATCCTGGATCATTGGCTCCAGTGATGCTAGTTCTACAACCATCATTAAACCCACTAAATACTTCATAATGAAACCCTACCCACACACAACCCTAACCCTACACTTAATTCCTCAGTTTTCTTGGTCCCATGGAAATACTTAGACATACAGCCATTTTTAAAGTATAGGCCTCCTATTGGGTGCTGTATACACATTGCTATGCGAGAGGAAAATGGGTGGCTCCATCTTACTGCAATGATTACTTTGAAACCAAGGATTTGTTCCATTTCCACCTTATGGGCAGAAAGCTGTTTCCATCATCCAGTCATGTTAAATCAAGTCCTGCAGCAAGTGTTGAAAGTGTTTTAGGGCGGAATGCCACTACTGAATCAGCCATTTACACTACATATGTAGCAGATATTAAACTTAACACCATAATGTGGAAATCTCCAACTTATCATATATTCAATGTCACCAAGGGATCCAGTTCTTACACTGAGATTACCTTAGAGGAGGAACCTGTGTACACTTGTGATGATGCTATACAGACATCATTCCCTCAAATCTTCCTTTCCCCATTGATCAAACAAGAATTTGGAACTGAGGATTATTATGCAGATGAGTAGGGTGAGGAGAGGGATGAAGGAAGTGGTACTCCAAATACCCCAAGTACTTCAAATACTACACATAGTACTTCCACAGCATTACCACAGGATATATTTAGAAAACTTATACCAAATTTTGCTCCCACAGAAGGCAGGAACACTTCGTATCTAGATTATCCCAATAAGCCATATTGTGATATATGCCCAGAAGCAGCTATGAATAAGAGTATCCCATGGTTCATGCAGGAAAATGATACCAGGATAGTAGTGTGTGTTGCTAACTTTCCAAATTTACCATATTATGGAGACTTACACTATTATGATGGCAGTTCTTATGTTAGCACACCCAAGGTGACTAACCTGTCCTTCCCACATATTCCAGCATGGATGGACATACTCTCATTGGGTGTACACCATTGGAGATTCCCAATTATTTTGACTGAATTACTACCACAACCATTTCCACCAACAGACCCTTCTTTTGCAGCTCAAATACCGACCAATTACGGAGACAGACTACACCAGCAGAAAGGAATAAAGGAATACACTAAACAGGAATTGGTATTACAGACCACTATTATTGTGTCTGGGGATTTCTTACATTGGTAAACACTACAGTGGATTTACCAAGGCCAGAAGAGGTATCCAAACATAATGCATCTCTACAGAGTGCTCATCCCAAATTGGGTAATGATACCACAGGAGTAGCCATAATGTCATTCCTGTGTGCATAAAATTTTTCATACCAAGACCTTTCCAATGATACCGCACTCCACCAGATAAAATGGAATTCTACCACTGATCCTGATGCAAATGTAACAAAACTTACAATGTCTCTGGCATCAGCTTATCCAAACCTATATTCTCCATTAGCTGAAATAGACCTTGGCATCAAAACAGCCTATAAATTTTATAACAGAACAGAAGATGGTAATATTACTGAAAGTGTGGCCAGTTTTAATTTTTCATTACCTATTTTTCTGAATAAGACTTTCCATGTCGCCTTCTTTAACCATACAGGGCAACCTACAGTCACTGGTACTGCACCCAGAACAGTGTTCTCTCACTTTGCAGGAAAAATTAATTTAATAGTGTATGCCATAATGAATAAGACACAGTTTTCAAATATACATAGAATAGGCACAATCCCAGGCAATTTAGATTATGATATTCCAACATACATACATGAAGCTCAATATAAACCTAGACAAGCCCTATCATACAAATCTAACATAGCTGAACAACCTATCCCACTAGACTGAGTAACACCAGCTACTAAAACTATGATGCTTAATGCTCAAAAGTTAAATGGCTACCAGGATCAATTAGGGCTATGACAAATTGGACAAACATTACATACTATGAGATCAGCAGTTACATGGCACCTAATTACACCTTAGATGGCTTGATAACCTCTAACCAAGTCAAGGGATCTGCTTGCTCAAGACCTTTATTTCATGTTAAACCTATATATAAAACAGCATGGACCAAACAACCATACATTATGGTGGTGGTCCAATGCAGGGATGCGCATGCAGGAACTAACTAAAATACACCATTTTGGTGTACCATATGCATTCTCCTTCCTATTACCATGGAAAGGAAGATGGCACACAGTGGACTTTGTAGCCCACAAACCCAGATGGAGAAATGATACATCCAGTGCAACACCAACAGAAGGAATACCAGTTTCTATGCCTGGATATGATTGGGACATGATATACTATTTAGAAGCTTCATTTAAAAAATGTTGGATAAAAGACTTCTCAGATGCACCATGTGTATTATATAGAGGATGCTGGAATGAGACCCTTAAATTTTACTCCATGCATTATAAGCCGGAGATTCTCTTCACACCAAGGATATCAGAAAATACTTCTGATACACATAGGCACATCATTTGGAGAGAACCCCCAGTGATTTTTGCCATTGACTTACACCTCTTGAAGAATATTGCCTAACCCCAGGATAAGAGATCTTCGCTCACACTAAATCTCAATAATATGGTGCCTAAGGAAATGAAATGTAAATGGTTAAAACTACCTACATTTTCATATGGCCTAAGTCCACTGAAAAGGAAGCCCTTACAGTTTTTTTTTTTCATTTTTCTTTTATTATTCATATGTGCATACAAGGCTTGGTTTATTTCTCCCCCCTGCCCCCACCCCCTCCCTTACCACCCACTCCACCCCCTCCCGCTCCCCCCCTCAATACCCAGCAGAAACTATTTTGCCCTTATCTCTAATTTTGTTGTAGAGAGAGTATAAGCAATAATAGGAAGGAACAAGGGGTTTTGCTGGTTGAGATAAGGATAGCTATACAGGGCATTCACTCACATTGATTTCCTGTGTGTGGGTGTTACCTTCTAGGTTAATTCTTTTTATCTAACCTTTTCTCTAGTTCCTGGTCCCCTTTTCCTATTGGCCTCAGTTGCTTTAAGGTATCTGCTTTAGTTTCTCTGCATTAAGGGCAACAAATGCTAGCTAGTTTTTTAGGTGTCTTACCTATCCTCACCCCTCCCTTGTGTGCTCTCGCTTTTATCATGTGCTCATAGTCCAATCCCCTTGTTGTGTTTGCCCTTGATCTAATGTCCACATATGAGGGAGAACATACGATTTTTGGTCTTTTGGCCAGGCTAACCTCACTCAGAATGATGTTCTCCAATTCCATCCATTTACCAGCGAATGATAACATTTCGTTCTTCTTCATGGCTGCATAAAATTCCATTGTGTATAGATACCACATTTTCTTAATCCA